CTCTCTCTCTCTCTCTCTCTCTCTCTCTCTCACTCATCTATTTGCCTCTCCCTATGACTCTAATTGAGTGCATTGTCTGACCTCTTGATCTGCCAGGGAATGAGTAGCAATCCGTTGACAGTCTTAGTGCTGACATCCTTGCGGTTGACGTGAGTTTCCTTCACAAGAGTGTCTCCAATGAGATAAAAGGCGTAAACAATTGGCGGACTTAAGAGCGAAACAACGGATATAATACAGAAATAGAAGTCATGATCGGAATAGTATGTATTGACGGCATTGCAGTCTTGATATAATTTATTTAAATATATGATTAGTCTTATGAGTGATAGTATTAATAGGCGTTGGAATAGGAATCGTCCGAATAGTGATGTCTGCGGACGTCTCACACCATTCCTCTCGTGGAGACGATTCTGTGGACATAAATGTATTGTCAGTTTTGTTACATAGATATAATTGTTTTCATTATAAGAATTTTGCAGTCATTTTCCCATTTTGTTGGCCTATTCTTTGATTACATAATACTTTTAATTACAAATCGATATTTAAAGCCATAAAGGATTTATTGTTTATGCTTATAGTGTAATAAAATATGCCATTATATACGATATGAGGCAATAAATGGTAACTAAACGAGTGTTTGATGTAAGAAATTGTGTGCGTTATATAAATGCAATTGTTTTAAAACAACTAAAAATTTTAAAGTGTTTTTACATGAAATGCTATCAAATATGGAAACCATTATTATGTCAGGGATTTACAGATGAAGCGTATATATAAAACAATGAGATAATGTCTATAGACTTGTATTAGGTGTGGCCCCGGAATGCCTTACCACTTGTGTCTCATATTGTCTTGTATTTTGTGTCAAACATTAGAGGAATATGTTATTTAACTGTCATTTTTAAGTTTTAAAACAGATTTAGGACTTCAATGACAGAAAGAGAGGACGAAGAGTACTAACCCAAAGGGTAGAGAATGTCACTCAACTTATATCACTAGTTATGCCACAAAAAATGTCAAATAAATGGTAAAAAGTCGTCAAATGTATTAATATTTATAAAGATTATTATTAATAAATAGCTAAACCCAGTGATTATCAACACCACGATTAGCGCATTAACAACGGGCAATAGTTAGCACAGGTATGCGAATGAATATATAAAATGTGATTTAATGGTATACTAACAGGACTGGTAGTGTCGATGTGTTCCAGTTCCAGATTGGCTGCCCTGTCGTTAACCATAATTAGTCAGTGATTTATATACACCACTCGTTTGCCCAGAGTTTATATATCAAAACATAAAACATTCACCACAAAAAAAACAAATATGAAAAAACTATTTTGACTTTTATATCAAAATATAAAATCACACAAAACTATCCCTTCTTATTATAAGCGATGGTTAGATTACTTTCATAACTCATATTACGTTATGAACGACTTGTGATGTGAATATAATTAAGTTCACAATAAACACACATATAGTGTACAGACGTTTTGGCACAAAATTTTATATTTTATTACGAGACACAAAAAAAAAGTCTTCTTATGTCAAGAGATGGAAACTTTTTATTTTTTGCTGTTTCTCATAAAACTCTATAGAAATGGCACACAAAAACTAATCATATTTTATTAACCACTATATCGAGGCACTGGTAGTCGTAAAAAACTACTGTATTTTCCTATGAGTTTGGGAATCGGAATTCAAGTCAAGGCTGAACCCCATCTCCGATATCCCATACCCATTGATATCCCCAACAAAATATCCCTAATGTTATGTCACTATACAATGCAATGGATATACGCATACATAGTATATACATGAGAGTGATGTGTATAAGTAGTAATTTAATGTATAACTCGAATAACAAGTTTTTTATTACAATTAAGGAGTTTTTGCGCTAAACCTCCGAATGGGATATTGAAATGGGGGTCTCAGGGGTGGGGTTGACGTTGATATATATAATTCACACCTTTCACACGATTAACGATACGAATATATATAGTTTTCTTATAACTCTGGGATATTGTAATCAAGTTTTTTGGTGTATTAATATGTGAACTGAATAGTGAACAAACCAGTGGTTCATCCAAAGAAATAGTCCAATAGTCCAGTTGTTATTCAATTAGAAAATATCGTGACTTTAAAGCCCTAAATAGTGAACAAATTGTTTAGATTATTATCTCATCGGCTGTTCGTTAGCGTTTGGGTTCATTGTTCACTGGCTTTACTACTTATTTTAGCCACTGTTTAATGCCATAACTTATGACATATATATAACTTATATAATATAAGGATTTAAACATATTTTAGTTTCTAATCTCATCTCTCTTTTTCTCTTTTCTCTCTCTCCTGCGGAGAAAAATTGTTGAAATATTTGTCTCAATATTTAATGGCCATCTGTTTTAGAATCCGTGCATATCTTTGCCATCAGATTAATCAATGAAGAAACAAAAAATAGTCGTATATTTTTATATGTATTGAGTGTTTGGGTTGACTGAGCACTCAGTTTGTGGGAAGAAGAAGAAGAAGGCTCGGAGTAATTATTTATTTTATACCATAATAAACAGCACACATTCACTCCGGTATATACAGCACACACTCTGTCAATACCAGTGCCACTCAAAATCTTATGTGTTTACGTAATATTGTCTCTCCTTTTTAAGGCATTTTCAACAAACTTTGCATTTTTTGCTTTCATAGCAAAAAAAATGTTTTACCATAAGAAAAATATTAGCCCGAGATTTATGATGGAGTGAAGAAAGTATATGGCATATGGTTTTTTGGTTATGTTTATGTTTGTGTTGATTATGGTTTTTATGAATTCACATTTTTCATATGATATATACACTCACTCCCTATCTTTCATTATCTATGTCTCGCTATCGCTATACTTATATAATAAATATAATTTATTTAAATTTCTACACAACAACACCACTCTCTATGTGTCAGCCCATTAGCTCAGCCACAGATGTCTCGCTGTTTAAAATGCTTTTGCCGTAAAACTTGAAATAGTTATGCATTTATTATATTTTTTGTTGTATATATTGATGTCAAAAGATTGCAATATTTATTTGATTACATTTGTAAGTGCTTTAAAGTGTTATTTAGTGTTATTATTAAACGCGAAGGGAGGGTAAGGGATGGGCTAACTGTTGCGCTAATATGATGTGATTTTGTTTTCATCCCCAGACATATCCTCCCTATTGTGATCACTATTACTAACCCCTGGGGTTACTACTGATAGGCAAATACCATATACTTTTGCTATAAGTAATCACATAATCAAATACATTCCCGCATATAATATACAAATCGGTTCTTATTGTGGACAAGGAGTCAATCAATCAAGTCTTTAATACCGATAAAAACGGATTTAATTTATTTGAAAAGAATTTCTTTTTTATTGCAAATACAATGTTGTAAAACAAAATTTTATAATCACATGTTGTGTCCGGATTCCGGAATTAACACTTTGGTAAATTAGATTTATCATATAGGTTTAGTTTAGGTTTTACACAGGTGCATATTTTAGACTATAAAATATTTATATCTATTCAATTAGCTATGATTTTAAATCTAATCTATGGAAATGTTAACTAAACTAATCATGATAATAATTTGTTGACTATTGTTTTTGCACAATGTAAATCAGTGTGTTATCAGTAACAAGTAATCATAACGTCCAAAATATACTAGTTTAATCTATTTGTTAGTACATTAGTGCGAGGGCTACTAAAAAACAAGGATTTCATCTGATGTGACAATCATATGGACATTAATACAATGTATGCGATAATAATGGTATTCTTGGAAAGGTATACAAACACTATCGACACAATCATAATATATTAATACTTTGTTTGAGACAATATCTGCGCAAAGAATCTACAGAATTCTTGGGAAAATTCATGACATTTATAGCGATAAGACAATGACAGCAGTCCGAGAGAGAGAAAAGAGAAAAAGAGAGATGAGATTAGAAACTAAAGAGAGAGAGAGAGAGAGAGAGAGAGAACAGCCTACTTTGCGCACAGGTATGCGAAGGGATGTCAACTCAATCCATATCTAATCCATCAAAACACACAAACAATAACGAAATGAAAGTATTTTTTTGTGATTATCTTTAAGTATTTATAGAAAGAGGAAAAATAGCTGTAATAAATTTATATACGTTAAAACGGCATTCTTCTAGAAGTGGTAAAAACTAAAGACACCTGAGCTCTGGGACAAAGTTAAGAAACAAGGCAACAATGGTATGTATTTGTCCTAAAGACTTAGTTTGTAGAAATATAATATATTGTAATTTTTATAGTTTTTATAATGATTATCTAATATTTAATTCGTGTCCATCTCTCAAGAGAACTGATATCGGGTATCGGGAGTGGTATGGGGTATGAATGACGAGATTAAGCAAGGCTTGTGGTGACCGGTATTTTATAAAACATAATTTCAATCAGAATTAGTGGAGACATCGAGTGCTAAATAAGTGCACTTTCTATCAGCAAAAAAAAGAGTCGCAAAGTCTGTCCCAATCGGTAACCGTTGACCTGAAAGAGCTGTTCACACCATTTGTTAGGATCAAGAGTCGAGTTAAACGCCGACGACTTGACCGTCACATTGAACCCAATGGAAATCCGGAATCTTATGATCACTACTAAACACCGTTAAGAATAATACAAATTTACGTCAAATTGTTATAAATATGACATTTTTAGGGAATAAAAGCGAAAAGAAAGAGAAAATTTGTTTTTAGTTTAAACACTTAACACATGTAAATAACGAGATAATTATGAAGTGGAAAACTTAATGCAAGGGATTTAATGCCTGTATATTAGGGCACAAGAACTGAAGAGTTGGATAAAAAGGGTATTAATAAATGTGATAATAAAGAATTTAAACTTTTTGTCATTCTTTTACAAGACTTACGAGTTAAAATAGTTAGTTAGTTGGGATTAGTAAACATTGTAAAAGTACCATGGTTGTTTTGAAATCACAAATTACTGGATCAAATCGGATATATGGGGTTCACTATAAATTAATTAATAGACGAGTAAAATAGTATTAATAAAATTATTAGTTCGCAAAGTTCTCATTATTTTGAGTGCCGGGGATTAAACTCATTATTGTACTAATGCTTGAGTCGGATCAATATTGCGATCACACGTACCAAACAATGCGTACCCTTTCTTGTAATGCAGATAACAATTGACACATATCTCGATAATTATGTCAATCATTGTGTTGTGATATATTCAACGAATTCAGTTAAACCGAATCAATGAGATTCTTTAGCAAACTATATAAGCCGGGCATTTGTTGCCACAAAAATCATTACTTCACAGTCACTCACAATGACTATGAATGCAATGCGAGCTCTGATAGTGCTATTGTCGTTGGGAGCGGCGGTTCACTGCCGGCCCTCGACTTTGGCACAGTTGCGTTGCGATAACGCCCACTGCCCTCAAGTGGATCCCAATCCCAAGATGTTGAAATACCATTATTATTATGGCATATAATATGATATTCAAATGGATATAAAAGGATATTAATGGCTATAATGGCATTGCGAGAGAGAGAGAGAGAGAGAGAGAGAGAGAGAGAGCCTACTTTGCGCACAGGTATGCGATGGGATGTCAACTCAATCCATATCTAATCCATCAAAACACACAAACAATAACGAAATGAAAGTATTTTTTTGTGATTATCTTTAAGTATTTATAGAAAGAGGAAAAATAGCTGTAATATATACGTTAAAATGGCATTCTTCTAGAAGTGGTAAAAACTACAGACACCTGAGCTATGGGACAAAGTTAAGAAATAAGGCAACAATGGTATGTTTTGTTAATGATTTTGTTTAAATTGTCCTAAAGACTTAGTTTGTAGAAATATAATATATAGTAATTTTTATAGGTTTAGTAATTATTATCTAATATTTAATTTCGTGTCCATCTCTCAAGAGAACTGGTATCGGGAGTGGTATGGGATATGAATGATGAGGTTCAGCATGGCTTGTGGTGACCGGTATTTTATAAAACATAATTTCAATCGGAATTAGTGGAGACATCGAGTGCTAAATAAGTGCACTTTCTATCAGCAAAAAAAAGAGTCGCAAAGTCTGTCCAAATCGGTAATCGTTGACCTGAAAGAGCTGTTCACACCATTTGTTGTGATCAAGAGTCGAGTTAAACGCCGACGACTTGACCGTCACATTGAATCCAATGGAAATCCGGAATCTTATGATCACTACTAAACACCGATTAAGAATAATACAAACTTACGTCAAATTGTTATAAATATGACATTTTCACAGAATAAAAGCGAAAAGAAAGAGAAAATTTGTTTTTAGTTTAAACACTTAACACATGTAAATAACGAGATAATTATGAAGTGGAAAACTTAATTCAAGGGATTTAATGCCTGTATATTAGGGCACAAGAACTGAAGAGTTGGATAAAAAGGGTATTAATAAATGTGATAATAAAGAATTTCAACTTTTTGTCATTCTTTTACAAGACTTACGAGTTAGAATAGTTAGTTGGGATTAATAAACATTGTAAAAGTACCATGGTTGTTTTGAAATAACAAATCGGATATATGGGCTTCACTATAAATTAATTAATAGACGAGTGAAATAGTATTAAAAACATTATTAGTTCACAAAGTTCTCATTATTTTGAGTGCCGGGGATTAAACTCATTATTGTACTAATGCTTGAGTCGGATCAATATTGTGATCACACGTACCAAACAATGCGTACCTTTTCTTGTAATGCAGATAACAATTGACACATATCTCGATAATTATGCCAATCATTGTGTTGTGATATATTCAACGAATTCAGTTAAACCGATTCATTGAGATTCTTTAGCAAACTATATAAGCCGGGCATTTGTTGCGACAAAAATCATTACTTCACAGTCACTAACAATGACTATGAATACAATGCGAGCTCTGATAGTGCTATTGTCGTTGGGAGCGGCGGTTCACTGCCGGCCCTCGACTTTGGCACAGTTGCGTTGCGATAACGCCCACTGCCCTCAAGTGGATCCCAATCCCAAGATGTTGAACGTTCATCTCATACCTCACACTCACGATGACGTCGGTTGGCTTAAGACTGTGGACCAGTATTTCTACGGCTCTAAGACTAATATCCAGAAAGCGGGCGTACAGTATATCATCGACTCGATAGTTGACGCTCTGCTTAAGAACGAGACCCGAAAGTTCATCTATGTTGAGACGGCATTCTTCTGGAAGTGGTGGAAATTACAGACACCTGAACATCAGGAGAGGGTCAAGAAGTTGGTTAACGATGGTATGAGCAATGCTTTTCAATATTCTCTTATTTATACATTTATAATATTTTATGGTTTTTAGAGAATAATTTGTTTAGAGAATAATAAGAATAATTTTTGAATTAAAACATATTGAGAAATACTAAAGAATTAGCTAAAGAATTGAATGTTACATAATTGTATAATTCTCTTACTATTACCAGTAATAACTTACAAAGAATTTACATTACGTTTTAAATGTTGTCAAACTTTTAGTTAGTTTAATAAATTGAGAAATGAATTGTAATGACAGGTCAATTGGAGTTCATAAACGGCGGGTGGTGTATGAATGATGAGGCGGCCGCTCATTACCAGTCCATTGTAGACCAGATGACTTGGGGTCACCGACGCCTTCAGGACACGTTCGGTAACAGGTCAATTGGAGTTCATAAACGGCGGGTGGTGTATGAATGATGAGGCGGCCGCTCATTACCAGTCCATTGTACTGGTCTACTGAACCCCAGTGGCTGCGGAAGTCCTGTGCAAGCCACTCACGCCATAGGGAGCGTAGCCCACCGTCTAGCTGGGGAAGCCTCACAGCCGAGAACAGGCCTCACTCTTCGCTCAGATGGGCTTCGATGGGATGTTTATGCAAAGGATTGATTACGACGACCAAAATCTACGAAAGAAAGAGAAGAGAATGGAGTTGTTATGGCAGGGAAGCGATGACTTGGGAAAGGCTTCAGATCTGTTCACACATATCATGGAAATGGGTTACGGTATGTGTTATTGACATTTTAAATTGACATATTGTATTTTAAATTGTTATTTGCTATTAGTTGAATGATTGCATGCATTTTACGACATGACATAACAGTTTATTGCCCACAACAGGTCCTCCTCGGGGTCTAAACTGGGAAATAGCGGGCAATGGTTTCAATCAGGGCGGAGACGATCCATTCATCGACGATCCCGAGTCTGAAGACTATAATGTGGACACAATTATAGATAAATTCTTGGCCTACGCTAAAGAGTATTCCCAATACTACCCGACGAATAACGTATTGTTCCCAATGGGTACAGACTTTTACTTCCAGAGCGCTAATCCGTGGTTCAAAAATATGGACAAATTGATCAAATATGCAAACTTAAGGAAGAGCAACGGATCCAACGTTAATGTCTTCTACTCGACGCCATCGTGTTATATGCATGGCATACATTTCGCAAACCATACTTTTACCACCAAATCTGATGACTTCTTCCCCTACGCTAACCGTCCGCACGCCTATTGGACGGGTTATTTCACGAGTCGACCGGCGCTCAAACGCTACGAAAAAGTGGGCAATAATTTCCTCCAAACGTGCAAACAGTTGGATGTCTTAAGTCTCGGCAAGAATGACGATAAAGTGACGCCATTGAGGGAATGGATGGGTGTTATGCAACATCACGACGCCGTCACCGGCACTGAGAAACAACACGTTTCCGATAATTATGCCCTAAAATTGTATAAGACTATAGAGAAGTGCCAATCAGTTGTCAATTCATCGCTGAATACACTAATTGGAAAATCAGACGTAAAACTAAATCAATTGTTTTGCAATCAACTGAATGTCAGCGCCTGTGCTGTCACTGAAGGAACTGATAACCTGGCGGTCACTATATATAACCCGTTCGGACATAATGTCACTCATTTGGTGAGACTTCCCGTCACATCCAAGGCATACAAAGTGTTGAACCCGAAGGGAAATGCTATCAAATCAGATATCGTAGCCATTCCTGAGTCGGTATTAAATCTTAAGGAAAGAAGGAGTAAAGCAAAGGATGAACTGGTGTTTGAAGCAGAGGTGCCGGCACTCGGATTTGCAACATATCTATTAAAAGCAAACAGCGCTGAAAATATAGAAAATGAGGTGAAAGTAACCAAAATATCGGACGCTTTTACTATAAAATCCAAGTCATTAAACATACGTTTCGACAAAACGGGAGCTTTGAATGCAATTGAGTTGAAGAACGGAAAAGTTGTTGACTTTAAACAGAACTACGAGTACTATAGGGCTCACGACAAGAACGGGGGCGACGATCAGGCTTCGGGTGCTTATGTTTTTCGCTCCATTGGCGACACGCCTGAGCTCTACAAAGTGGGCCTTCAGTCAGAATTAGTGGAGACATCGGATGCTAAAGAAGTTCACCAGAAAGTGAATGATTACGTCTCGCAAGTGATAAGGATTTGGCCGAATAGGGATGTCATTGAATTTGATTTAGGTTCTTATTGTGGACAAGGAGTCAATCAATCAAGTCTTTAATACCGATAAAAACGGATTTAATTTATTTGAAAAGAATTTCTTTTTTATTGCAAATACAATGTTGTAAAACAAAATTTTATAATCATAATATGTTGTGTTGTGTCCGGATTCCGGAATTAACACTTTGGTAAATTAAATTTATAATATAGGTTTAGTTTAGGTTTTACACAGGTGCATATTTTAGACTATAAAATATTTATATCTATTCAATTAGCTATGATTTTAAATCTAATCTATGGAAATGTTAACTAAACTAATCATAATAATAATTTGTTGACTATTGTTTTTGCATAATGTAAATCAGTGTGTTATCAGTAACAAGTAATCATACATGTATGTAATGTCCAAAATATACTAGTTTAATCTATTTGTTAGTACATTAGTGCGAGGGCTACTAAAAAACAAGGATTTCATCTGATGTGACAATCATATGGACATTAATACAATGAATGCGATAATAATGGTATTCTTGGAAAGGTATACAAACACTATCGACACAATCATAATATATTAATACTTTGTTTGAGACAATATCTACGCAAAGAATCTACAAAATTCTTGGGAAATTCATGACATTTATAGCGATAAGACAATGACAGCAGTCCGAGAGAGAGAGAGAGAGAGAGAGAGAGAGATGAG